GGGGGGGGGGGGGGGGGGGGGGGGGGGGGGGGGGGGGGGCGGGGCATAGGACCAGAGAGCCCGGAGCCTGGAGCTGGGATTCTGGGCAGTGTTTAAGAGAGCCACACATCTCCTTTTCACCTAGGCAATACATTTCATTTTGTTTTTTTGTTTTTATTGTTGAGAGAGGGTCTCCCTGTGTAGTCCTGGCTGTCCTGGAACTTGCTGTGTAAACCAGGATAGACTCAAACACAGAGAGATCCTCCTGCCTCTGCCTCCTGAGTGCTGGATTAAAGGTGTGTGCCACCGTGCTCAGCCTGAGTCGGGCTGCCAGGCGGGGGCCATGCAGAGGTGAAGGAGGCAGCCCTCCTGGTAAGTGCCAATACTAAGGGCCCATTGGGAAGACAAAGCAGCGAGGGTGGGGGTGGCTTTGGCAAGTTGGCGGCAGGGTGTGCCACCAAGAAATCACGACACAAAGCTGGGTGATGGCTCATGCCATTAATCCCAGCACCAGGGAGGCGGAGGCAGTTAGATCTCTATGAGTCTAAGACCAGCCTGGTCTACAGAGTGAGTTCCAGGAAGACCAAGACTACACAGAGAAACCTTGTCTCAAAAAAACAAAAACAGAAGAAAGAAAAGAAAAGAAATTGCCACATAACAGATGTTATGAAAGAGGTTTCATATGATGTAGTGAAAGAGGTTTATTGGGGGAGGGAAGAGAGCAAAAGGCTACCTCAGAGTGGGCACAAGTAAGAGAGATAGACTGAGAGACTGGGAGACAGACAGAAAGAGGGAACAAAGAGACAGAGACAGAGAGCTGGGCTGGGAGCCGGGCATGCCCAGTGGTGGCACGTGATGATTTAAGATGCCGTGTGGTCCCCCGAGGAAAGGCTGGTGGGAATGCCCGATTGCTGACAGGATGACAGACGGCACAACTACAGCCATGAACCACAGTGGTTTCTGAAAATGTTTCACACAGAGTTACCTACCAGTTCACTCCAGCACACGCCCAAGAGGAAGGAGCGTGTGGGCCTGCACACTAAAAGCTGCTCTCTCGTTCACAACAGCCAAGATTTGGAAACAACTCAAACAAATATGACACAGTCCAGCAGCGAAGTATTACTGTGTTCTTGGAAAGGGGTCGGAGGCTAACGCATGCCACAACACGGGCAGTCCTTGAAGCGTGCAGAGAAAAAACTGGTCACGACTGGCCACTGTGACTCAGCTGCTGGAAGTGAGGAAATCCACAGAGATAAAAGGTGGAGGGTAGATCCGAAGTGCCGGCCAGAGAGGAAGCCAGGAGCCAGGGACACAGAGGTTCTCACTGACGTGGTAAAAATGTCCTATAATTGTAACGACAGCCACAAACATCAGGGAACAGACAGAAACTTTGCCAGATCCCCTTAAAGAAGCGTGCTGTGTGGCGCCGTGCGCTATTCTCTAGTGCTCTGAGAGCAGCTTCATGGGTGTGCAGACCTCAGCGCTGACTATGGCTGTCGTCGATATAAGTGTGGCTGAGTGGGGTGGGGACGAAACTGAGCCAACAGGACTGAGCTTCCCAGGAAGTGCAGTAGGTAGCAGGTGTGCCTGAACTCAAAGGCCTGCGGGGCTCTGAGTGGAGAGAGGCCGCAGGGGAGGCTCAGCAGCTGGGATCCAGGTCTCACCCTTTGTGCAAGGGAGAGCCTCCTTCTCTGCCTGGTCCCTGTCCCTGCCATGCTCCCTGCTGCTTGAGACCCAGGGCTCTGGCCTGGCATCAGCCACCAGCCCCTGAGAGACTCTGCTTCCAGGTCACTGGGGCTCCTAAGAGTGTTGGCTGTGAGGTGGAGGTCCCAAGCACTGTGTCCCACACTGGCTGTGGACACCCACTCAGGCTGGGTTACATCTCCATTCCAGGGAGGCTGGCACCTGTGCCAACCCATTCTCCCTTCCACCTGTGAGAGGTGAGTCACAGCAGGCAGACAGTGCCTCCTGGTGGTAACCTGGTTCTCATTCCACTCTACCCAGGAACACTCTCTTCCACGCAGCCCCACTGGGTGCTGGGAAACAGGAGGCGTCCTGAATTGGTGGGTGAGATGACTCTAATCCTACTTCCTCACTGAGGGCCCCAATAAAGACAGCTGAGGAAGAATCTGCAGCCATGCAAGGAGGGTAGACAGCCCGGAAGGGAGCTCTACTTCCTGTGTCTGCCTTCCTGAGCATCTCACAAGCCCATGCCCCCTCCCTGTCGTGGTTGTCAAGCACTTCCTGCCCCAGGAGCTTTTCCCCAGAATACGCTGCCACTGTCCCAGTGGCCTTTCCTCATGAGGCCCCAGGCCCTCTTACTGCTGCTCTCCCCAGCCAGGGTTACCAAGCACTCAGAAAGAAACTCAGCACCTTGGCCTGTGGCAATGGCTTCAAAAACAGCACTGTGGTTCTGGAGGCTAACACAGGACTGCAGAGCCCTGCACAGAGTACAGATAATCCTAGGCCAGCCTGGGCACCATAGAATGAGGGGCAGAAATAGAGCTCAGGCAGAGCAGTTGCCAAACATGCACAGGGCCCTGTGTTCAGTCCCTGGTGTAGAGTGGGGAGTGGGGAGAAGGGGAGGGGACGTGAAGGGGAGGGGTGAAAGGGACGAGGAGGGGGAAGGGGAGGGCAGGGGCGGGAGGGGGCCAGGGGAAGGAAGGGAGGGCACTGAGCAGAGGGAGGAAGCTAGGCCATCAGGACAAAGGGCACACACACCATCCCAGCACACACACCGTGAAAACATGTGCAGCTCTGTAGGAGCAGCCTGAGCTCCACTCCTGCCAAGAGCAACATTTTTGCTCTGGACACATTATGCTCTGTAGACGAGGAACTTGAACCCAACCTGGAAAACTCATCCTTTTGGTGGGTAGGCATCGTCACCCAATAAAAGGGGAGCCCTTTGCCTCCTTTAGGGAAACCTTTGGGGCCTCAGTCTGAGAGGGCCCAGGGGGAAGGTGCTGGACAACAGTGACTTCCGCCTCTGACCCACCTTGCCATTTTCTGTGGGGGAGGGGGGACCCAGAACTTGCTTTCCTGGCAGGAGCAGGTCTCAACATGAGAACCTCAGCACAAACTCATGCCCAGGCAGAAGGAGGGGTTCCGCAAAGCCTCCTCGGCATCTGGGCTTCCCCTCCTCTCCTTCCCACACACACCCACAGGCCCAGCCAGGCCTACCCAGGGTTCCTGGACATCACTTGGCCAGCTAGGAGGGGGTTCCCCCTCCTCCCTTGCCCCAGATTGTATCATGATGACCCAGCAGTCGAGGCTCAGTCACACCACTGAGGAGAGGCAGGTCTTCGGGATTACGTTCAGGCTTCCTGACAAGAGAAACTGTCACAGCAGCAAAAGCTCCAGCGGAGCTGCCAGAGGGGCCCCTCCCCCTGCCTCCACCCACCTCCCCCTGAACACGGCTCAGGACTGTGCTATGCATCATCTGTCGAAATAATATCTCAGAGCTATAAAGTGCTGATGGTGGCGGGTTCTGCTCGACTGGCCCTAGTCACTCCCTCCCACCCTTCCTGCTCAGAGCACAAGGAAAGCCCAAATGAAGACAGCCTAGGAATGCCTAATGGGGCAATGAGCATCTTGCAATAAGACTGTGGGGTACAGTACAGAACTGGGGGGCAGGACTGCCTAGAAGCAGATGGAAGATTGAGTCAGAGGGCCGGCAGCAAGAGCAAACTCGAGGACATTGAACTCAGACTGACTAACCAGGCCCCCGAAGGACACCGGCAAACCATGTGCCTGGGTAGTATTTGCACACTGACGCTGTTTAGAACAGCCAGGGTGTGGCTAGTGTTAAAGCCCTGTTTTAATTGGTGGTGTCACCGTTTTCAAGTTCTCAGCACACAGACACTTCTGCCTCTGGACCTACCTGCACCGGAACACACTGACCCGGGCCACACTGCTACGGGGGGGGGGGGGTGAGAGTGGGATCTAATCCAGTCCAGCCGGCTCCACCATCCCAGCCAAGCCTCTTACCCTCTCTGCCATTCTTCCTGCCACCCCTTTGTCTCCTGGCCTTTCCACCTCCAGTGGAGTTCTCCTGGGTCCTTCCCACTCCCCCGTGACACTTCGCCTGGCCTCAGAGGCAAGCGGATCCCCTTTCTCTGAGCAGGCAGTCAAAAACTCCAACAACCAAAACTGGGGGAAGAAATCTGAATCTGTTTTGTGAGCACTCAAATTTTTGTGCCCCGGCATCTCCAGGGCCCCCTCTTTCCACCCTGGTGCCTGGAGGCTCCTCTCCCTAAAATACCTGCAAGCCAAAAGCCCAAATGCCTCTCTCTCTCCTTCCTCTGCTGTTAACCCTTGAAGTGCATTCATTCTTTCAACAAAGCAACATGCCGCCATAGTGCTTCTGCCTAGAGCTAGCTCTCCAGCCAGGATGGACAGATGATAGCAGACAGACCCATGAAAGAGTGGCTCGGGTGATAAGGAGCCCTCAGGAGAGAGGGAAGCAGAGAGAGGCCAGGGAGCACCAACCGTGGGCAAGAGGTGGCATATGAGCAAAGACATGAAAGGATTTGAGGAGCAGTTAGAGGTATAACAGCCCAGTAGTAAAAGAGATAAGTGCAGCGGAGCGTCCCTCCGGAATGGTGGACACGCAGGACTGGCTGGGCTGTGGTGAGCAATGGGGCAGAGGTGGCAGTCAGCGCATAGAGGCGTTGGTTCTGGGTCCACGGCAAAGATACAGCATGGTCTAACGGGTCTGTGACGGTGCTAGGGATGGTGTGAGGAACAGAGACAAAAGCCAGAGACACCCAGGAGCGTGAGTCAGTAGACCCAACGAGGAGCGAGCTGTGGGCTCCAGCTGGTGTGGCCAGCACGGAGCAGCAGGCAGAACCCGAGGTCCAGATCTTGTGAAGACGGGCACGTGGTGGACGGAGTGAAACACTGAGCAAACACACGGAGGAAAGGATGATTCCGAGACGTGAGCTCCAGCAGAGAAAGCGAGACTGGCACAGCCCTGTGTTGAGCCCCCTACAGAGCCGGGTGGGGGAGGGGAGGAAAATACATGAAGTGGGGAAAACGAGGGCAAGTTTGGGATATGTTGTTTGAGGTACCTGTTTGATGTCTACGTAGGAGATACTGGTTAAAATAGGTGCTTGGGGGTCTGGGGAGGAGGCTTGTGGTTACGGGTGTGCCCTATTCTTCCTCGGGACCCAAGTTCCATTCCTATTGCCTGCACCGAGCTCCAAACTCACTCTAACTCCAGCTCCAAGGGACCCAGCATTGTCTTCTGGCCTCTGTGGGCAGTTGAACTCTTTTGCACATGCCTTCTCACAGAGACGCATACACAGGTACATAATTTAAAAAAAAAAAAAAACCTTTAACAGGACACAGAATGCAGGGGCCATCTGGGGTGCAGCCATGCACTGGTTCTGGCTGGTGGACAGAGGCTTAAAGTCCTGAGTCTGAGTATGAGTCTGTATGATGTCCCCAGGCAAAGATGAGAAACGGGGCGCTGGGTGCGCAGAGATTGGAGGCGGGACCTGCTGAGAAGACCCTGGGGACCTGGGAGACTGCAGTGTCTGGGAGCAGAAAGGTTTGAAAGGCAGAGGTGTGCCGGCTGACCCAACGCCGCCGATAGGTCAAGGGAGGTGAGGGCTGAGGAGGCCGAGGAGTGCGGCAGCAGAGCCTGGGACCTTCACTAGAAGTGTTCTCCTGCTGTTTTTCTTCTCCCTCTTTAGACAAACAGCTGACAGAAAAAACAATTTGCACCTGAGTAGGCTTCTAATAAAAAAGCACTGATATAACTTTATATACATTATATACATGTCATATATAGGTCTATCAATATGTCCATCATAAGTATGCTGCAAGCACCCAGGCAAAGACGTGTTTCCCCAAGCACGGGACGCAGAGAGCACAGAAAATGAGCAGAAGCTTGGAGTTCTGCATGTCTGCGATCTCGCCGCCCCACCCCCCACCCCGTGAAGCTCTCCACCAGCTTTGGACTTTCCGTTTTGTGTCCAGGTGATTATTGCTTTGTTTCTGTAACTCAGTGAAGAATCACGGATGTTTCCAGGAGCCTGGGAGGTCAGTGCTGGGTAGCTCAGCTCCAGGACAACCTGGGAGCTGAGGGTGGGGGCCCAAGTCATGTGGGACAGAGGAGACACTAAAAAATGGATGTCCTTGGAGAGTCTCGAGTCAGCCCCGAAGAGTTCTGCTGTAGATTCAGGCCTTATATAAACAGCCAAACCCTGAAGGGCCACGGCACCCAGCTGAGAGGTCTGAGCGCTGAGTGTGTCCACACAGATGCAGCAAGCTGTTTCTCTCCTCACGGCTTCCAGACCCCCTCTCCTCCACCCCCCCATGCCTTGAGACCTTGAGAGAGTTAGTTCTGGATTCGCACATTCCTCCAGAGCCTCTGGCTAGAACTGTTAGCAGTCTCCAGTGGTTGGCCACTGAGAGTGGGGGAAAAGACCTTTGGATTTATGGGCAAAGCAAATTAATGTCCCCATAATGGCAATTGTGGTGGACTTATGGGGAAAATAGGACTATAATGTTTATGTGTTTATGCGTTTTTAATGTTTATAGGTCGCCTGCTCCAGCCCGCACAGTGATGAAGTTAGGTGTGTCTGAATTAGTTCACTGTGAAGGACGTTACGGATGTGAGGAGTTTCTGCTAACTACCCAAGCTCATAAATGCCTTCAAATGGCTTTTTTCATTTTTATGAGGCCAATCCTCATGTCCACACACACATAAAAGGGGTGAGAGGATCCACTAACCTCACAGGGACTCCCAGCTCCAGCTCACCCCACTCCGCATTGCTCCTCGGCTGTCACCCACAGGGCCACCATGTCTTGCCGCTCCTACAGAGTCAGCTCCGGTCACCGGGTGGGAAGTTTCAGCTCTTGCTCAGCGATGGCCCCTCAGCATCTGAGCCGCTTCCGGGCCAGCTCTGCCTCCTGCCGGAGTGGGTCTGGCTTCCGGGGCTTGGGTGGCTTTGGTAGCCGGAGTGTCGTCAGCTTTGAATCATCCTCGCCCGGGATAGCAGCTGGGTGCTCTCGTCCGATCCGCTGTGGAGTTGGCTTTGGAGCTGGCAATGGGATGGCCTTTGGCTCTGGTGACGGGAGTGGAGTCGGTCTGGGCTTTAGGACCTGCAGTGGTATTGGCCTGGGATTTGGAGCTGGCAGTGGCCTCGGCTATGGTTTTGGAGGCCCTGGCTTTGGCGGTCCTGGCTTTGGCTACAGAACTGGAGGAATTGGAGGCCCGTCAGCCCCCTCCATCACAGCGGTGACTGTTAACCAGAGCCTGCTGACACCGCTCAACCTGGAGATCGACCCCAACGCCCAGAGGGTGAAGAAAGACGAGAAGGAGCAGATCAAGACTCTCAACAACAAGTTTGCCTCCTTCATTGATAAGGTACCTTGCTGGCTGAACCTCTGGGACAGGCACTGAGCATTAGGGAGCATCTGCCAAGGGCATTGAGGGGAAAATGGCTTCTAGACAGTTCTGCATCGAGAATAGACAAGGCAGAAGAATGGTGCGTGGCAAGACAGACTAAGGCGCTGGCCGTAGTTTCTGGAGAGAAGGAAGACCGACCAGGCAAACTTAAGGGCATTTGGGCAAAGCAAGCCCTGTTTCCTGGTCACTTAGCAGTGTGCCCCACACAGGTGGGATGTCAGCCAAATGTTCGATTGGCTCATGGTCAAATACTTCATCCTTTAAGATCACGGTGTTCTGAGGGAGATTTTCATCTTTTCCGAGACTGGCGGTCTCAGCCGTGGGAGAGTGGAGAACGGAGTGGAAAGAATCCACACACTCAGCATGGGCTGTGAAGATCTGCTTGGGACTGGGGAAAAACAGATGATCATCAGTAGCACACACAAAGAAATGCTGTTGTGAATTTTCCAAAAGCAGATGCCGGGTAGACCGTACCTGCATGGAGATGAGGCCTGGTCTCCGTCTGGAGAGGGAAAAGAACCCCTGTGGGCTCATTTTGCCTGGAGCTAATGAGCTCAGCTGATAGACTATCAGAGATGCTGGCTGTGGGGTACAGTCCCAGGCAGCCACCTCCTAGGACCACGGGGCCCCCCAAACTATGAAGCATGTTAATGTGTTGTGTTTGGTCCTTGACTGTAGGTGAGGTTCCTGGAACAACAGAACAAACTCCTGGAGACCAAATGGAGCTTCCTCCAAGACCAGAAATGTGCCCGGAGCAACCTGGAGCCTCTCTTTGATAACTATATCACCAACCTGCGGAGGCAGCTGGACTCGCTAGTCGGTGACCAGGCTCGGCTGCAGGCTGAGAGGAACCACATGCAAGACGTCCTGGAGGGCTTCAGGAAGAAGTGAGTGCGTGGCCCTGCCCACACCTGGGCGCCCGCGGGCTGTTCCCGGCACAGTGTTGAGCACCCGCATCAACAAGGACAAAACCCAGCTCCCGCATGCACTGGGGACAGTGAAAGGCCTCTGTGGGTGTCAAGGAAAAAGGCATCTTGGAACCGGGGGACTTGTAGTGGGAATGGGTGACTCGACTCTGCGAGAGAGGGCTTTTGTTTTAAGACGAGCGCCCACGGTCGGTGTTGCCTTAGGTCCTGCTTGCTTTGTGCCCAGTGGCAAGGACCCTGAGTCGTTTCTCACAGACAACTGTGGCAATGGTCCAGGTTCTCAGACCCTAAGTGAAGGCCCCTAGCTTAGAAGAAGTTTAAAGAGTGGGCTGAGGGATGCTAATCTGACAGTAGCAATAGAGAACCATGTTCCTCCACAAACCATGACCGTGTCTCAGGATTGATGAGGGCTTGAGGTACCGAGAGTGAGGGCTTACCCCCTTCGTGTTCTGTGCTGCCAGGTATGAAGGGGAGGTTGGATGCCGAGCCAGCGCTGAGAATGAGTTTGTGGCTCTAAAGAAGGTAAGCAGAAGCAGAGAATCCAGGAGAAGTTCTGTACGGGATTCTCAAGAACCCCGGGCAGCCCGGCAGGGGTGAAACTGCTCACCCAAACATCAGGACCCCAAGGTCACGTCAGGCTCCCTTCAAAGTTCTGACAGGACCACAAATTATGAGTTTCGGCACCAGGAGCTTGAAAAAGTTTGATGCTTATGTTTCTTGAATTATCAAGGCTTCCTCTACTTGTATCTGTAAATTTATTTCATTTACTTGGCATGCAAGGCAGGGAACATGGATACCGTGGTCCCTGTGTGGACAACTTGAATTCGTTCTCTCCTTCCATCCTGTAGGACCCAAGGATCGAACTCAGGGCTTCAGGCTTGATGGCATCGCTGTGCCCCTGTCTTTGCTTTTAAATAACCGCTGGCTAAGGTCTCGCAGCCCCGGTGGGGACTACCATGTTGTAATAGGAGAAGAGAGCCATTAGGAGCTGATGGACCCTCCCTCCCACCTCCGGGCCCCTCCTAGTTGGGAAGGGTGAACAGTGTGCTCCTCTCTCTTTTTTATGCAGGATGTAGACACAGCTTTCCTGAATAAATCTGATCTGGAAGCCAATATGGATGCCCTGGCCCAGGAAGCTGACTTCCTGAAGGCGCTGTACCTGGAGGTGAGGCTCTTCTGTAGGTGTTTACGGATGAGACTGCTCAGCCTACACGCCCGGAGCACTGAGTCAGGCCTCCAGGTTTCCAGAGGCTGGTTTCATACACCTCCTTCCACCCCCACTCAGACCTTTGTGCTCCCTGACACTGTGTGTGGAGGTGAGGAAGGCCAGGGAGGTAGGCGTCTCCACGGCCATGTCAGGCCTGACAATGGACACCCATCGTCTGTGATCCAAACCTTCATCAGCCAACCCAAAGACAGGGTTTTGGAATGCCTGGCAAAATGATTTGAAACAGGAAAAGAAGTGCATCTGGTTTTACTAACCAAACCAATGCCATTTTCTTCCCAGCAACCCATTTAGTCTGAGCTTGGGGCAGTCAGAGCTGTAGGGCAAAGGCCTCACTAGGGTGGAGACCCTGGTTCTCTGAAAATTCTGGATCTAGGAATACTTGGGCTCTACTACATTTTAAAATATCATTACTTCTCGATGGGTCATGGCCAGCCCTGACAAACGTGAATTTAAGCAGCTGTTGCTCTGGTCACCTGAGGTGCCCCTGGTGTTGATAGTCACCTAAGCCAAAGCAAGCACTGGAGGTGTGCTCTAAGCATGTGGCAGGGGTCCTAAAGCCAGACCCCACTGCTTCTCAAATGTGCCTTTTTCTGAGCCAGAGGCTGGGGGGGGGGGGTCACAGGGGTCGTCTACTGCTTCTCCAATACAGGAAATCCAGCTGCTGCAGTCACACATCTCAGAGACGTCCGTCATTGTGACGATGGACAACAGCCGGGACCTGAACCTGGACGGGATCATAGCCGAGGTGAAGGCTCAGTATGAGGAGGTGGCAAGGCGCAGCCGTGCAGACGTGGAGGCCTGGTACCAGACCAAGGTGGGCATCGGGAGACCAGGGGTGGAGCACAGGTGCCCTGGGGCCTGGGGTCTTCAGCGCAGACCCTGTGTGGTCAAAACCCTGCCCTCTGCCCCCAGTACGAGGAGATGCGGGTGACAGCTGGCCAACACTGTGACAATCTGCGGAGCACGAGGGACGAGATCAATGAGCTGACCCGGCTGATCCAGAGGCTGAAGACAGAGGTCGAGCACACCAAGGCTCAGGTGAGAAAGAAGAGAAGAAAAAGCTCCAGAGGGAGGAGAGGCAGGGCCCTGACTTTGAGGAGCCCCAAGTCTGGTGAAGGTAAAGGACCCACCAAGACCTGGACACAAACCCAAGGGCTGTCCAGGAAAACTCCTGGATGAGAAGGAGGGCCGGGGCTGGTTCAGCAAGTAGGGGAGACTGGATTCCTCAGGTCTCAGGCAGTGGGAGCCCGAGGGGGATGGCAAGAGGGAAAAGAAGCACCCCACTCTCCATGCAAAAGCAGCCTCCACCCCAGGCCTGGTACTAGGCTTCACACCTGTCGGGACACTGTCTCCAGCCCCGCTGGTAAACCCTGGGTCCCTACCACATGCCAACTCTGTTCCCTGCAGTGTGCCAAGCTGGAGGCCGCCGTGGCTGAGGCGGAGCAGCAGGGCGAGGCGGCCCTCAATGACGCCAAGTGCAAGCTGGCAGATCTGGAGGGCGCCCTGCAGCAGGCCAAGCAGGACATGGCGCGGCAGCTGCGCGAGTACCAGGAGCTCATGAACGCCAAGCTGGGCCTGGACATCGAGATCGCCACCTACAGGCGCCTGCTGGAGGGCGAGGAGAGCCGGTGAGGGCGGGAGGAGGAGGTCAGACATCCAGAGAGATTACCGAATAAGGGGAGGGAACCAGGTGAAGAAACCCGGAACAGGCAGTCTCTAGAGAAAACACTGTATTTTCCCAAGACATCAGTCGGTTGCCCTTGGCAGCGTGTTCAAGGTACTGCGTCGTCCAGTGCGTTCCCAGACGAGCTGCTCCAGGCCCTGGGCGCTCTGCTTTGCTGATTAGCCTGTTAGAGACCGTAACAGGTCACCAAATACTTTAGTCCAACAACCTAGAGGCGGTCTCCCGCAACATGTCGTGTGTCAAGCTGCGCTAACAGTTGGGGGCGACACTCACCAGCCCCCGGTCCGCCCAGACAAGAAGCCCCTGGCAGCAAGCAGGGGCCGCTCATGTGAACTCGCTTGTTTCTCTCTCCAGGATCTGTGAGGGCGTTGGACCCGTGAACATATGTAAGTAGCTGGCCTTTCTCAGACCATTGCTTCTCTCCCCTTCAGATTTCCTTTTGACAATAGTGGGAGTCGGGAAGCTCCTGAGATAGCTGGTGACAGTCAGGGTCCCTGGACTGGGAGCATGTCCTCAACAGAGCCTCCCAGAACTAAGAGTAAACAGCGAAAAAAAAAAAAAAAAAAAAAAAAAAAA